TCTACGGGAGGGTGCGTCCCATCTTTGGCACAATGGGAACAAGTTGAACAAGCTCTCCACAAACATCCAGGACCAGATGGCGTCAAAGGAGAGCTCGTTCAGCTTCACGTGCCCACAATAGCATGGATTACGTACCCTTTAATTGCCAAGATCGCGATGGGGTTACATGAGCCTCTCGGTTTCAAGGGAGGCATTCTTGAGGCTGTCTACAAAGGATGCGGCGGACACAACGAGCGTGAAAACAGTCGATCGATTTTGTTGTCAAACATGCTGGGCAAACGGTGGCACTTCTGCCTGCGTGGAGCTTTGACCTCCTTATAGTCGAGCCCACAATGACAAGTTCACAGGCCGGTGCCATCACCGCCAGAAGTGCTGACCTTGTTGTAATGAATGTTCGCGCAATCGGCTGGCTTGCGCAGGAACTTGGCCAATCTTTGGCCACCATTTTCATTGATGCGCAGTCAGCCCTCTACTCAGTCTTCCGTCCCCTCTTACTGGGGCTTGGGCAGGATTACGATGACGATAAGCTCGCTTACGCGATGAGTTTCTTGAAAATACCGCCCATTTATGCTGATTGGTTGCGCGACATAGTCGATGACGGAAACATTGCCAGTGCCATAGGTGTGCCCCCAGCGCTGAAGCAGCAAATACTTGATACATTGACACACTACACTCATGGTCCGGTTTGTCACCCGTGGCAGCACTGAGATGGGATATTCATGGGCAGGCACGCGGCCTGGGGCTCCCCTCGGAGATTTGTTATACGTGATGCTGCGTGCCGATGTCTTGCACGAGGTCACTGTACGTTTTCAAGCCGAACGCTGGGCATTCCGTCTCCAGATGGAGATGGGTCGCTGGTGCCCATGCCTACCTGGGTTGATGACTCTTTTCCAGATCGATGCCTGCCCTTCGAGCTTCCTTGCCAAAACTCAAAGAGCGTGTGGATGCATACATGATGCTTTTGGAAAACGAGGGCTCATGTTGAACAATTGCAGGGGCACATCCGACATTCTCCCAGTGCTTCGTGGTCCGCAGGCCCGAAAGCAGCTGCAAGAAATACAACAAGTATGGGAGCAAGGGATGCCCTATGTTGCCATGGATGGTTTGCACCACATGCCTTTTACATACATGTACAAACACATGGCCTCCAAGATGGACACGCCCTCATCGCTGCTACCCGAGATACGAGCCAGAATTGCTTCTGCGAGGGCGGAGTGCCGGGTGCTTGATAAGCCGATCTTCTCACAGCAGCTTTCGTTGGTTGCGAGATCACACCTCTTGCGAGGCCTGGTTCTCAGCAAAGCCACCTTTCAGTGTGGCATCTGTTGGCTCCGCGGGCACCGGCCGGGCTGCACTAAAATCTGCATTAAAAAATTAAATCTTAACGCAGCCAGGCCCGTGGAACCAGGCTTCAAGATTCGAGACTCTTCGGCATCTTGGTTCTTGGTTCCACGGGCCGGGGCTGCATTAAAGTTTAGTTTTTTAATGCTGGTTTTAATGCAGCCAGGTCGCTGGAAACCATATAAATATTCACGAAACATATCGGTTTGCCATTTTACGTGCCACACGGCCACTCCTGCAGCGAAGATTAGCAAACGGATTGCTGTGCTTGACAATTTGATCGCACGATAACAAATGTGTGATGACCCAAGCTGCAACTAATCAAAATCAAGTGATCTTGTACTTCCGGCTCCCGTCCTGTCCTTGTGAGCATGTCGGCGCATTCCTCGTCGGTAAACATCGAGGGCACCATGAGCTTGGACGCGGCTGGTACGGCGCCAATCCGCTTGACCAGAGCGACTCCTACATCATCAAATCCAAGTCCATCCGCAACGACAGCATCGGCGTTCAAAGGACTGGATCTCTTCCCGTCGACACGCCACCGTCTTCGGAGTTCATTCTGGGTGTTCTTCGTTTGTATGACTCATATTTCCGCTTTGCTCCAGACGCCATATGAAATCCCAGGAACGTCCGAGCCGGATCCAAGTTTTTGCGTGCCCAAATCCGGGCAGCCCAATACCAGTATTGGTTCAAGAACGAGGACCCCTGGACCAAGGCCTGTGATCTCGTGACTTTCAAGATGGAGAAGATGATGAAGAAGTGCTGAGGTCATCGAGTGTGGGTTTTCGGGGGCAGATGTTTTAGCGACATCTACGAGGCACATCGAATGTGGGTTTTCGGGGGCAGATATCTTAGCGACATCTGCGCAGCACATTCGCTCTGACGAATGTGTATATGGACACGAGGATGCGATGGAAAAGAGTTCCTACATCTGCACGCTATGGAGGCAATCATGGAGGCAGTCACTACATTGACCCACATCACATCGTAGTAGTTTCCTCTCACATTATCATATTGTGATAATGTGAGAGAAACTAAATAAGATGATATCGCTAAACATATCATATATTTGTATGCTACAGCGAATAAATCATCGTATTCGATTTTCTTATATTGTCATAATATGACAGTATGAGAGAAAACTGAAACATATGATAAAGATAAAGATGCAGATGAACATATCATTCTATTGAATAAATTTGATAACAAACAACTGATTATGATGAAACGGCGGATCGTATCATCATATTCAGCTTATTTGTCATGATATCATGTTGCCACGTACAGATGTACAGTAGAACATACACACGTAACAAGGGCGTCATATGGGTATGCTGTAATAAATAATAAGTATGTGTATACATGTATGCATATCATTTGCACATGTACACGCCTCTATATATATCCTCTATCTTCATAGCACATGCATGACACATGCATGCGTGCGTGCCCTGGCAAGGTACGCTACCGCGTCCCTTGCGACATCCACCCGCTTGGCTGCACCCATGTTTTTCCTTTAAGTTTGGCTCAAAGCACGGTGCTGTTATAAAAAAAGATAAAGACATCGGGGAGAGAATCAGACAGAGATATGATACAGGGTACGGTATGTTTTTTTGTGCGTGCACTGTAGCGGTGAATTTAAGCTGTGTAGAGAGTAGTAGTGATCTAGTGTCTTCATGTCGGGACAGCCGTTGCCAGTTGGACGAGTACTCGCAACTACATGCAAGTCGAGACCGCCAGTCTTAGGAGAAAGTAGAATTCGCTCACGGAGCGTGACTGCTGTGGTTGTTCCTCCACGGAACATCACTGCTGTGGTTGTTCCTTCCCCTAAGCGAGCTGCTCCTGTAGTTGTTCCTCCACCAAGACGAGCTGCTGTTGTGGTTGCTCCTCCTGCAGAACCGAAAGAAGCGTCTACTGCTCATGCAACCCCACTTAGAACGGCACAAGTTCCTCATGTTGCACGAGCTTTACCTGCAGTACCAGCACGAGTTTCTCCTGCTCCTGTAACACCGCCCAAAGATCCCAAAGCAGTACAAGTTCCTCATGTTTCGCGACCTCTACCTGCAGAACCAAATCATCCGCCTGTTCGACACACTACCATGTACACGTGGGGACAGAATACCGACATAGGAGACTTCGGGCCATGTGTGATCGTGGACCTCAGGCGCTTCGATGATCCGTCAACCAGAAATGATCTCAACCTGAGAGGTCATATCGGGTGGAATCCAACAATGATGGTGCAGCTGCTGATGAATGCGTCGTTCAAACAGATAATAGGTAGAGCGCTCACGTTAGGCTTTCGTGAGCATGAATGTGATTTCGTGTTCAAGTGCTTGGCAGGTAAGCGTAGAAGCGTGTGTGCTGCAACGTGTTGTGGCATCATATTGAAGATAATGCTGAGAAATGACAATGTGTATGAGCGTCACCTTGCGCGCAAGGGCTGGAGGCGTAGCACATGCTCGGGCTTGTGCAGAGAGTGTTGTGCTGACTTGCCGGCCTATGTCAATATTACTTTGCCTAATATTCAGAATGCACTGCCATATACGGAGGACATGCCAGAAGTTTCACTCCTGCGAAAACAGGACGGCAGGACGTGCATATGAGAGAAGCAAAAGCGCCGTGCTTAAACCCTCCAGTATAGCATCATGAGCATCTGTTTAGGAAAAGCCCTAGATCCTCAAGCTCCCCTCCCCTATTCCAGGTGCCTTGGCGAGACGCAACAGACAGATATTTCAGTTTTTTCAGTTTAGGTTTAGGCGTTTGGCAATAATTAGCATGACTATCCGGAGTTTAACGGGCTTATGCCTTTCTAGCCAAGAAGTCTTAGGCAACACTTGGCATGATCATTCTGGTGTTGTGGGGTTTATGTCGTTGTAGTGAAGAGGTGTTGGACAATACTTAACATCAAAAATTTCGGTTTCCATGGGTTTATATCGTTATAGATCGTTGTAGACAAGGAGTGTTAGGCAATACTTAACATGGTTATTCTGGTGTTAACGGGTTTATGTCTTTGTAGATTGTCGTAGATAAAGGGGTGCTAGGTAATACTTAACATGTTCATTTCGCTTTTGATGGGTTCATGTCGTTGCAGAGAAGAAGTATGAGGCAATACTTAACATGTCTATTCGGGTTTTGATGTGTTCAGGGAAGGGTCGCAGAAGGCTTCGAGGTAGGTCCTAGGGGGAGGGGGGTAGCACATATACATACATACATATATGTATGTATGTGTGTACATACATACATACATACATACATATATATAATATTATGTTAACTTATACTGACTTGTATTATATTGCATTCTATTGTATTATGTTATAGTACATATATATATATATATATATATATATATATATGTGTGTGCACACTTTGCTTGCGTATGTATCTAGTGGTTTCAGTTGTTTGTCATTTGTGTTTTATCTTGCTCATTTGTTGTGTCCATACCTGTTTGTGCACACTTAAGAGCCGTCTGCACAGCATCCGCGGCCCCGCCTCTTTATTCCGTTCTACGTGACGTGGTGATGGCCGGAGTACCAATGAAGCTCAAACTCGCTTCATGCTGAAACCATGTGTCTGATATGCCATCACGACATCTGTAAGGCTCGTATCACAATTGTTCATGAGGCAATTGACTTCATGCCTTCGTGCATTCGAGCGGCACGTTCTTGTTGATACTCTCAGCTGAAATGCTCGCCACATCCACCGCATGAGTCAGCAAGAACTTGACTGGAATTCCTCGCGCAGCGCAGACACATAGACAGATTTGTCAACCAACAAACTTTTCTGAGAGTAAATGCCGTTGCGATCCGGCTTGTGCTTTACCACTTTCTTGTCGATGGTCGGTCAGCGGGAGGGAGAGTGCAACGATTTCCCAGACAACTTTCAACATCCTCTTCGACGAAGACCAGTACAGTCTCACGAGGACGCCGCATGAGGTAGGGAATTCATAGTCAGGCCCTGAGCATTGGGGGCTACTGGTATCAATGCTCTCCTATGGCCAGCCGGGTCCTCGCCCGGATCCCTTTCGACTCTGCCGGCCTCGCATGGTGAACTCCAGGCCGGGAGCTTGTAGCAAGCCGTCCCCAACAGCGGCACGGAGGCCCTTCGACTAAAGACAACAGCGGCACGGCCATCTGCTGAGATGCACTCGGACACAATCCTGCCTTGGCCTCGCCCTGCAGCCGCAAATCCAAGGCCTGCAGCGATCTCTCGCGCACTGAACCGATACCCGAGGCCACTGCACCGCCGATTGCCTGTAGCAACTCAGAAAGATCCACGGAGCCAGGCACCACATAGAGCAGGTCCAGCACCTGTGTCACGCCCGCTATGCTGCTATATGTTTGGAGACATGCTTCCAGGCCCAGGCCTCACCGCTGTGAAAGACAGGAGTCCCTTCTGCAGAGATCTGTCGCACGCTAATCGGGAGAAGCTCCCCTGAGCGGTGCTGGAGCTCCGGGACAGAAGGACAGTGCATCAGTGCACATGTAAGTGGCAAGTGGCTGCGCGTGACTGCAAGCAGGAGGCGATGGACTGGCTCGAGAACATCAAAGCTTGACAAACTCTCGTTGCAGTATTGGAGCAACTCCTCCTGGAAAGCGTCGCATGTCGCATGGAAGACAGCAATCTGAATCTTGGCACCACTCTTGCAACATCATCCTGAAGCAAAAGTGCCGTCGATTGGGCGGCGTTGTCTGCCTGCAGGCTGCAAAGCGAAGTCTACCCGGGGTGGGTGGGGCTGGTTAGACTTATCCCCTTCGCATCTCTTATCTGGATCTTTGACAAAGCAAGCAGCAGGCCTGTGAAGCTCGACAAAGCAAAGGCATCTGTACGCACCAATACCAGAGGACGGGTCAGTTAGGAACGCAACGCCCTTCCAAAATATTCACGAGACGCTGAAGCCTGGAGATGCCTAGAGACTCCCCGCTCTTGGCCGGAAGACTTTGAAATGGCTTTTCAGCGTCTTTCTGTGGTCTAACCATCATTATCACCACCGTGGCTGCCACACCGACCGCTCGGTGTCGCCTCGCCCTTTGTCCCTTTGGGTGCTGTCTTTCTGGTAACGGAAACGTCATCTATTGCTGTGTTCAAGCTCCCCGTGCCTGCATTCGGTACATGTAACCCATACAAGCATACGAGAGTTATTAGACAGTCCACTGTACACTGCATGCATGAGAGTGGCACAAACTAACTGAGGCATTGGTGGGGATGCGAAATGTTTTTTGGATTTCACGACAGTGGTCGCATGCGGCTTTTCCAAATATCCTTGTTCGACTTGTCTCTAGGCTCTGGCTCAAAATCATCTGACTCGCAGATGTATCACACCAAACACAACACTCGATCAGTGTCTTGAAACGCCAGCTTTACAACTAGCAATATGCGATGCGCCTCGTTCAGCTCAGAGAAGCTGCTGTGGCCACCAGTCAGCTCACAGACAGTCTGAGGGCGACAATGCCCACCGTAGCAGAACGCAGAAAGGGGAAGGGCTGAAAATCATTTGCGATAACGAGCAGTAGTGGACTGTTCGGGGTGCAAACCGAAGGTCGCCAAACGAGCTGACATGAATCACGAATCACCCAACTCCTACATTGCTTCGCAATGGTTGCCAGTATAATTGACTGGCAAGGCACATGGAGTTCAAACCACTCAGCCACATCTCAGAAGACATGTTGTTGGAACGGGCTGAGGCTGGAGCCTGGCTCAGGCTGCCCATCGGCCTTCAAGACTTCCTTGTGCTGAAATTGAAAAACGAATAGAAGTGTTGCTCTCAACTGTTCGATGCGACTCGTCGATTCCCCTCGCGTATTCTCTTTTTGTCCGTTGGCAAAAAGCAATCCGGGTTCTGTTGACCCTGGTCTGAAGGTCTTCGGAACAGAAGAAGACCCGGGACAGAACCGGATGTAGAGAGCTCCGCCGATCGATCCTCCGGCTGTAAAACCTGCCGAAAGTCCAGAGGCAGGCCGAAGAGGAGAACGGGCAGGCGGACCGATTGGCTTCAGCGGGTCCGTTGCGTACTGATGTAAACACATCCGTTCAATGCACGGTACCATTCACAGAATACAGTCCGTTTCCTATACGCCAAAAAAGGCTAGTGTACAGAAGCGGCACAGTACAGCAAAGCCCTGCGCGTATTCTCTTTTTGTCCGTTGGCAGAAAGCAATCCGGGTTCTGTTGACTTTGGTCTGAAGGTTTTCGGAACAGAAGAAGACCAGGGGCAGAACCGGATGCACAGAGCTCCGCCGTTGCATCCTCCGGCTGTAAAACCAAATGTACATCGAGCGAAACGCTTGACCAGAGCCGTAGGGGCAGCCAAAGAAAGGATCAAGCTGAGCTTTCGCCAACCGGACACAGGAAACCCGAAAAATCGGCCGCGGAAGGAAGGAGAGAAATCTCCGGAGAGGCCGGAAAAGCAGCCCAAGACACCTGAGGGCTCGAATCCCAAAGAGAAGGGGTCGGAACCGCGACTCAGAGCGTCTGCCACATCGTTGGTTAGACCAGGGACGTGGTCGATATACACGGAAATCCGGTACGACTGCTGGCAGAACATGGCAGAGGCCCTTTGCCTTTGCCATGGAAAGGCCCTTACAACTCGCGGCGTCGGCACGCAAAAGTGGGAAAGGTTGATTTCCCAGCCGATCCAGACGACACGCGTGCCAAGTGCACCTTTATGCCAAGACATAGGGACACAGAGCACTTGCAAGAGGATCACGACAAGGGAGGCCCATAAGGGGTCGTCACATAAATTTGAGCAGAGTGGCAGACGCGAACAAGACGGTGAATGAGGCGGACCAAGAGTCCAGCAGCCCTGGCCCAGTAGAAAGAGGAGACACAGGCGCCGAAATTGAGCGTCAGGCACTGATACAGTTTCTGGCGGTGACGGAAGTAGAGGAGGCCCCTGTCCGCGGGACGAATGAGGATACGCCGATGGGCTTTGGCAAGGTCGAGAATCAGAGCCACGAGACGTTCCGTGGCATTAGACAGAGGCACGCTGAGGAAGACGTCGGACAAGGTGGGGTTCGCGGAGCGGTTGGGCAGACAGGTGTTGCTAGAAACACCGGACACAGAACTGTCGACAACAATCCGGGGCGGTCGACCTTCCGCTGGTACGACGCCAAGTTTGCCGAGAGCGGAGTGAGTATAGCTGCGGCGGAGCTCGTCGTCACCACCCGGCAATAGCTTAACCCAACCTTCCCGGAGCTCAGCTTCCAACAGCTCATCCACCACATCAGCATGTTCCAACGCAGACTTCCAAGCGGATTCACAATGCTGGCGCGGGATCACGGTGGAGTTGGGCGCAGATGGGGGGTGCATGACGGGGCAAGCAGGAATTGGTGAGGAGATACCACGTGGTACCCCAACAAAAAAAAGTCCGAAATAGCCAGAGTCAGGATCGGAGCAGACGAGTGACAGGTAAGAAAAGCTGGCCTTCCCGGACCGCAAGAAGGCAGTCCCACGCGGCGTCATCGGCGTCATCCGACATGCGCAGGAACTGGCGGAAGTATCAAAGAAAACAAACAAGAGTTCCTCAGACGAGACTGGGGGGAGCTTCGACCCTGAGTTGATTGAGCTGAGCAGCGATACGCGAAGCCAGGCCAGAATCACAGTCTCGACCGTGCAGAGCGGAAGAAAGAAATGTTAGCGAGAGCAGCAGCCGGGGAAACTGGGTAGCAAGCGGAGAGACGCGTGGAAAACGACCCGTTGAAAGTCGCTTCCCGGAGGTCCGGGAATGGGACCCGAGAGGGTGTGGGCAGACAGACGCCAGGGATTTGACCGAAGCCACGCTGCAGCAGAAAGTCCAGGCTTTATGTTGGTTTAGTCCGTGAGCGCAGCCTGCGACGGTCGCCATGTAGGGGCAATGGAGGCGGACCCAGAACACGACCTCCTGGTCAAGCCAAAGCAAGGAGGAGGAAAGATTCTCCAGCCACAGGAGACCGCGTCTAGAGGCGACTAAGCAAAGAAGCCTAGCACATTCATGTAGTTCCTCAGCTTGGGCAAAGGAAGCGTGCGGAATGCCTGTAGGGTGGAGCAAGGTGCGCACCGCGCAGGGGCCGCCTGGCCGCAGGCGGGCCCGCGAAAAGGCCGCACAGGAGCAGGTACGGAGCACTGACCAGGAAACCCAAAAGCACGAGCCGACGCAAGCAGGGTGGGATTGACGGGCCATTTGGAGGAGCGGGGACACCAAAACGGCCCCGAAATGGGAGTGACCGGTGAGGGACTGTCGGAGACACCAATGAAACACCGGCCGTAGGCGTGCGGACGCGGATGCGCCAGCCTCCGCGCGAGCAGAAGGCGGTGACGGCGCCGGAGCGTTTGGAGCAGCCAGCTCCGCAGTCAGTTCTGCTTCCTGTTCAGGAGACAGAAAGGGTGCAGGCTCGGGCTCGGCCGTCCTCCTGGTCAGAAGGGCCGTCCGCGATAGAGGTCGGAACCGGACGCGGCCCATGTGTTCTTGCAGGGGAAGGAGCGGCAGCGCGGCCTGCCGGCGGAGTGGGAAGAAACACCCGAAGTAGAGGCCGGGGCCGGACGGGATGCCGTCATGACCACAGAGGAAAAGACGAGAAAGAGAACGGCTCAAGCAAGCGGCGAAAACAGGAAGCAAGTGCGGCGCAAAGGAGCAGAGCAGTCCTCAGGCTGGCTGGTTCCCAGAAGCCGCAGAGAGGGAAACCGAGAGCGGCGACCTGAAAGGACAGGTGCCTTCAAAGAACTCAAAATCGGCAGCGGTCAGAAAGCTGAGCCGGCTGCGCGAGGTAGAGGAAGAAAGCCGGCGACCTGACACCAGAAAATAGCAGAGTGCCAGCGGCAGCATTCAGAATCTGAGCCGGTTGCGGCGACGGTCCCGAGAGGCAGCCGAGCTTCGAACGGGAGAAAAGACCGGCAAACCCGGCAACAGCTGGAATACCAGCCTGAAGCGGAGCGGCAACAGGCCAACATCGAAGATGAACTCGTCCTCGTCGTCTGCCTTCATAGGAAGGGCAGAGCGAGCAAGAGCCAGAGGCAGGAAAATCCAAACTGGCTTCGAGCCATCGGAGAGCGGGAGAAAAATTCACCTACATAAAATCCTGCGGAAACGGATCCCCGCTCGAACCGATTGGCTTCGGCGGGTCCGTTGCGTACTAATCTGAACACATCCGCTCAATGCACGGTACCGATTGCAGCTGCTACAGTATGCATATTCTGAGCATTGAGGCTCTGGTGACTGTCGTGTCTCAAAAGATTCGGTGCCGTGGCCTCTAAGCCCTCTGAAGACATACAGTTACATTTTTTCGTGACGACGACATACCCTAACCTTTAGCCTGTGGCTGCGCTCGGTGAACCCCGCTGCTCTCCAGGCTCAGAAACTGCAAATCGAACTGATGACTATGTCGGAGGTTGGACAGTGTGGCGACTTGTTGGGGGGATGGAAACGGCCCGGGCAAGCAAGAAGCTGATCGCAGTGGACTCTACGACCTCAAACTAACATATGTTAAATCGCTGAGCAACATCTCAGATGGAACAAACTGGAACGTTAAGTCAAGGCCAAGTTCAAGCGTCACGACGGTCCGGGTACCTCAAGCTCACAACTCGAAGCCATTGCCCACATTCGGTGGTGCAGGGCACTGGGAAAGCTGTCAAGCCCCGAGAATAGACACGGAACTTGGCTTCTTCTGGGGCTGTTTGGCCGCTGCAGACCTTGCTAGATAGATCAAATAGGGTCTCTGCTGAGCCAAACCGGAGTGACAGCAGCTGCACTTTTGAATACACAGCATTTATCAGTACTTGGCAGGCAAATGCCAAGCATCGCCTCGAGTTTTGCCATGTATACCTCAGCTTGGAGCACATGATCACTGGATCCAAACTCTGTGGGTCCAGTCTGCTCTTGCAGCCGTGATACATCTCTCCCGAACTCTGCTGCCGTCTCAGCACCTTCAGGCGGTAACTGAGTCTCGAAGTCTCGAGGATCGTGAGCGGAACACCAAAGAGTCCAGACTACGAGTCCGTGTCTGCCAAGCCGCAAGCAACAAAGCCGAATCCTCTGCGATCATTGTATGATTTCACGGCTCCGAGGTAAACCTGCGCTAGTAGGCAGAGACAAACTGTCACATATTCCCCAGAGATTGGCAGATCGGTCGCCTTGTCAGAATCAGGTAACCCTGGTACGTCATCAGCCAATGCTTCTGCAGCCATAGCGCGCCTTGGCCAAAGATCGGGTCACGCTTGCAGGAACGGACTCCTAGCATGCAGTAGATTTTCTGCTTCAAACCGTGCCTGCGGCGCAAGGCACGGCTGTTCGAGTGGTGCTTTGCCCAACTGTTGTGCTTCGAACCGAGGCAAGGAGGCAAGACAGTGTGAGCAACAAACTGTCATGCCTGAATAGATTCGAACGTTTTGCATAAGCTTTGGTGAGCCTCCAATGCATGCCGCAGGATTCAACATGGTCGTTTTCAGCTTGCGTCGTATGGCTCTAGCCTGCCGCTCAGATCATCCAGCGGCAGGGAATCACGCACCACATGCCTTTGCAGAAGTCGGAGGCGAAAGGACCTAGCATCCTCACTTCAAACTTCAAGCGTTTACAGGGTGATCAGCGAATCCAGAACAACCTTGTTCCAAACCTCAGCAACTGCAGTGCAACCTTATTCTGACTTGCTGGCAGAAACATGCTTGCCTTCAACCTGGGCCGACAATCTTGTCGCCTGTTTCTTCTCAGTTTGTCAACTGTGGCTCATTATCTGCTTTCGTCGCCGTTTAGTCTGGCATGCCTTGCTTTGGCAAAGCCTCCGGCCTGCAACTGTACAATCGTCCATGGGACATGAGCGTGCTCCGAAGCACCTTGTGTGCAATTCCGTGCCAGCTCTGAAGCGTTCCTTGTGAGCTGTCGCTTGGCGATGGCTCCTGAATTGGGACTGAAAACTGTACGAGAGTCTTGACCAGAAGACCATGAGCATAAGGCTGCCCATTGCCACTTTGGAGTCCTAATCACTGGAAACATCATGGAGCAGTCTTCAAACGAAAAGACCGTCTTGACGACGGTGCAAGCACAGTGTCATCTTGCGAGGAAGACGCACGCAGCATGTCTTGAAACTCTTCGAAGTCCATCTCGCCGTCCCCATTCCTGCTGTAGCTGCACAAAAAAGGACCGGGGCTTAATTTGTCGATACATGTCGATACCATTAAAGTAGCATGCGGGGGAAGTGCTAACCCTAGCAGAACGGTATTTTTTATTGTCTAGATCATAGACAAGTCCAAGCCCAGCCAAGTTTCTTATCAAACTGAGCGAGGAGATGTTCACATTCAGTCTCATCAAGGTGTGGAGAAGCTCGTGCCAACACTTGTTGTAGCTCAGGTGCAGAAAGTTTGCCACTGCTGTCCTTGTCCAGTATGCGGAAAGCCTCCCATATGTACCCCTGCTTCAGATACTGTTGAGGCTTGACGTTTGCGGACAACCAGTTGCTGTAGTCCATCTCTTGAAAACCACTGGTATCTAAGCTACTGCAGATCCTGTCCGCATCTTTGCCAAGGGCAGATTCTGAAATCGCTTTTCGCAACGTGTCCAAAGGAATGCTTCCCTCACATCTCGTGTCCAAGCTCTCGAAGGTTTCGCGTGGACGCTGCAAGTCAGAGTCATCAATGACATGGACGATGGTATTCAAGGCAGCCTTCTTAAGTGGATTCATGACACTGTACTTTCGTAGATTGGTTGCGATTTCATCTGATGTTTCAGTGGCCTCGCTGCGAAACTCCGTGCCGACCTGCTCGCCCCGAAGCCACCAACTTTGCAACAGAATCTCGTGAGCCGACGGACGCAAGCCGTCCGAAACCTCACACATGCGTCTAATGAGCTGGATAGCACCGGGTGGTACTGAGTTGCCAAGTTCAGTAGTCGTCGTGTCTGATAGCTGTAAACCTTTCCGAGCGTTCCGCAAAATCACATCAACATCTTCTCCATCGAAGGGGGGTCGTCCGAGAAGCATGTAATGCAGAGTAACGCCGCTGCTCCAAATGTCACACTTCTCGGAATAACTGCCACTGAACACCTCGGGGGCAACGTACAAAGGCGTGCCGCAAATGGTCTTCAGCCGGCCGCCATCCTCCAACTTCCTGGCAAATCCGAAGTCGATGAGCTTGATCGTCACCCTTTCTCCAGCAGTCTCGCGTTCCTTTAAGACAAGGTTCTCTGGTTTGATATCTCGGTGGGCCACATGGCATCGTTGGTGCATGTAGCTCAGTGCACACATTAGTTGTCGAAACACATCTCCTGCCTGACTCTCTGGCAAACAACCTGATTTTTCGATCAGGTGCAGAACATCTCCTCCTTCGCAGAGTTCCATTACGATGTCAATATGTTGCGAATCCTCAAACGTTTCAAAGAGACGTGCAATGTGGGGATGGTCCATGGAAGCCTGCAGCTTCACCTCCTCTTGAAGGAGCTGGATATCAGCTATTGCGTTTTTTTTGATTTCTTTCATGACACAGACTGCTCCTGTTCTCCTGTTGATCAACCGCTTGACAGTACTGAAACCGCCTTTCCCCAGAGTTTTCCTCTTGACTTTGAAAGCTTCCTGCACTCTACGACCAGGGACGTTGACCAAGATACACTCCGGGCAGTCGTCCCCGGTGATCGCTGGTGGAGTCCTCCAGAAGGCTAGGCATCCTGCGCAGCACCCACTGAGCCGAGCCATCCAAGTGCCCCCCGGCAGTGGCAGTGCCCTCACGGCCCTAAGTGAAAAGCTTCTAGTAGACCTAGCAGACTGCCCGTAACCTGCAAGCGCTTGCTATTGATGTTCTCCGATAGATGTCTGAAACCTGCTGCATGCTCAGCCAGTGCTGGCGCGGGCAGACGATCGAATTCAGTCTGGCTGTCTGACTGCTGCGTGACATCTGCACACCTCGCGCAACGAGATCCTGGCCACTCACCTTCATCCAAGTGCTCTTCTAGCTCCTGACAAGCAGGTAGGGCCAGGGAAGCATCAGCCGGGTCCAAGTTCGGTCTCATGGTCCTTTCGGGAATACCACGCCCAGTCTTTTACCGGCGTTTGTCCGGGCAGGACGAGCCTCATTTCATCTTCTGTCTAGGCCTAGGCCTAGGCTGCGCTTGTCGGAGTCGACTCTGAGACCTCTGCTCTGAACCCGGCACGAGGCGAGCTCGGTAGTAGAAGATTTTCCGACCCTCACAGGGTTGCAGCATCTGTCTAGGAGTGACCGGTAGGCCCATGTACGCCCGTAGGCCTTGGCCTCAGAACCCAAAGCCCAAACCCTGGCCAGGCCTGGATTCCTGGATGCTGCGCACTCTTGCGCTTCCGGTACGTGAAGGGGCACGCTCCCACCTTTGAGCTTGGGCGCTTCTTCCCGAGATTATGGCCCCTGGCCACTTGATGGTTTCAAGAGAGCTGCCAAGTACGGTGTGAAGTCGTGACCCAGCTGGTGCTCTGCGAGCGCTAGCCTAGCATGGCAATTCGACGATCATGCTGACATGCACCAGGCATCGCTTAACCTCCTCCGGCACATAAGCAGCAGACAGAGTTTCCCGCATGGACTGCCCATGCAGCCGATCTGCCTTGTAACACTGCCAGGGGTCACGAGCATTAGCAACGGTCTGTAACAGAGCCTTCGGGAAGGTCCATTTGCTGGCAGCGCCATATCGAACCAACAGGAACCTCAAACCGGAAATGGATCGCAAGGAAGGAGGCAAGAAAGGGCCATGTTCTCGAGAAAGTCTCAGCAGCCAGGAAACACACTCCGAGACAACCGCAGCTCTGGGAACCCAAGGAGACCTATAAAGGAAGACCTATGTCCCGTGGACTCAACACTCGGAACTCCAGCAAGAGCACTTTTCAATTCCAGGGCTCGTGCAGCGACTTGTCAACCAGCCGCCTGCTTGACGGAGCGCTCACAGCTCCAAGCTTCGCACCCTTCTGGTTTGCTCTGCAGCACTTGTCTTGCACCCTTGCGCCTTTGTGACTTGACATCCATGTCATCGACCTGGCAGCACATCGCGAGTGACCACCAAAGATGCAGGGAAGCCGCCCCTTGTCATGTATAGGGTCATGTTTTCCATGCGCACATGCTACCTGACTGAACTCCTGATCTGGGACTGCACCAATCAAGCACTGTCAAATGGAAACTGCATAGAAGCACCACTCGAATGCCAACGTAAGCGCAACCACTGCAGAACCCTTCAACACCGCGAAGGTCAGACCGTCTCCACCTTCTTGCGCTCCACCTACGTGGCGAGTTTCAGCCAGGCTTTTAACTGGAGCTTCTCCTTGTGTGCCTTTCTTCGTTGCGATGTCTTGCGCCCGAGCTCTGGGAAAGTCAAATCCACGCCCTCGGCATCCAGAAGTTACGCGATGCAAAAACCAGAACTGAAGAAGCGGTGCATCGGTGCAGGCAGTGCTGGAGTTCACGCCTCCTCTCCGAGAAGCGACTCCAAACCTGTCTTTGTTGCCTCGGAACGCCAAAAGCTTTTCTGTTCTGAGTGCTCCGCCACGAGGTGGCACTTCTGAGACAGGATCTTTTGGAACCATGGCTGCCACCAGGCTTTCTGTGCTCACCGCACCAGAAGACACCCTGGAGGTACCGGAACCTGCACCACAAATGATGTGTTTCGATCATGCTCTCGGCCGGCACACACTGAACCGACACAGTCCCTAATATGCATCAAATACAGCAGCCTCGTGTGGGGAGCATGCTAGGAGAACTCATATGCCGGCAGTCAACGAAACAAGGCCGTGCGCGGGCCTGCTCTCTGTCTCTCGCTCTGACTCTCTCTCCCGGACGTAGGTCACGAGTCGGGGGCCCTCCGGCGTGACTGTCTCTCCGTTCCCGGGACCCTCAGAAACACGCCCAATCCGCCGAGGCCACAAGCCCAGGCGTCTTGGGGGTTAATCCTCCTCCCTGCAGTTCGACGATAGTTTCGACCGACCCGCTTCTTGCGCTCATTTCCCACCCCCCTGCCCGGCCCCCCTTAATTTTACCTACTATTACCTACTTCTTCCCTTGCCCGCCTTCCCCGCCCCCTTTTCGCCCCCCGCCCGAGGACCTCAAATTGAATAGACTTGAGGATGACTTGGTCATCGACAAAATGTGACCATGGGTGGCTCCACCAGCAAACCGATGGGTGGCGTTGACGTTGCTTCCGTTGGAGCGCAGATTTAAAAAGTTAAGCTTGCCGCCTACGTCCTACGTGTTGGTAGCTGAATGTGCATGTAAGCAAAATCAAGTTGCTCGTATCCTTTAAGGGGGCAGTCAAAAAACGGTTGGGATTCGAAGGTCGGGTTGAAACCAAGCAAGGCAGAGAATCAAGCACGCAGCAATTACAAGTTCGTTCAACAACCCCACCGCGCAGCGCAGGTGAGAACGTCCCCGAATCACTCCCCTGATCAAGCTAACTTGCACGTCGGGATCTTTCCCTTTTGAATCGAGTGTTTCACCGAAGTTCTTTTCTCCCCGGCCTACGGCACACCACGGAAAGCCATGGCGACCATTGTACTCCCCCTCCGCCGTGATAGTTTGCATACTTGCAGGAGTGGGCCAAGCTTTGAACTTGATGAACTTCTAACGCCAGGTCCGAACTCGATCTCTCCGAGCAGCGGATGGCTGTGCTCAAGTAACAGGTTGTTAACGTCAACACGTAAGTCACCCATGTCCAATAGCACACAATCCGGACCTTCCCCTGACAAACTGAGGAGCGCAAAGGCTCGCAATGCTGATTGGCTCTCTAAGTCATCTTTGGTCAGCGTGGAGAGAAATCAAGGGCCGGAGCAAACTCTCGTCGACCTCCGAGACACATCGAGACTGCGGACGCGCTGCGGCGATCTCCGAGTTGCAGACACCCAGGCACAGGATAGCTCCGAGGTCACGTGGATCCCCGGCCAGTGATGCGGACGAGGGTGACTTCAGCGTTCTCCCCCGACTTTCTGGAGACAACCGCAAGGTCAGCAGGAAGTCGCGAGTAGAAGACCTTGCAGTCTTCCTGCTCCGTTCCCGGATGGACTATCTAACGTCATGGCAGTTCTCGTTTCTGAGTTATGGTTTCTGGGATCAGGGGAATGGAAACAGAGAGACAGAGAAAGAGAGAGAGAGAAGCAGTGGAAGGGGCCATAGCGACATAATGGACGATGCCACGTCTCCTCAAAGACATCGGCTTCACCACTTTCGAGGAGATAAGCTCGGAAGAAGCAAGTGCCTCCTCCTGCGCCTCAAGAATCAGCTGCTTCGGCACGGTTTATCAGGGGCATAGCGAAACTCAAGTCTGTCTGCCCGAATTTTGCTCACCCCTGGGAAGAGGATCGAAAGAGGATTCCTGAGTGTGCTTTTCGAAAGAGTTTGTTTGATGTCGTCGTATAGGGTGAGGTCTGCCAGGGCAAGTAATCAAATCTTACGTCATGGTGGGCTTCCCCCGCATAGGGTCCCTCTCGTTGAAGAACAGGATTGAGTAGTCAACCGGAAAAGTATCCCACCGTTGGAAAAGAATCGGAGATTTTGGATTGTAGGTTTGCAGGCATCCCCCGACAAGGTACATTGACTGCTTCATCGGCTACTTCTCATAGAGGTGCGAAGGTGAGCCGAAACATGCAAGCAGCAACAAACAGCGTACCGTCCGAGGTCCAGAGGCAGCAGAGCTCCGCAGCGGAAAGGTGCAGTGCAATTAGATGGTTTTCACAACCCGAAAAGTCGTCGGCCGCCGCCCGAGGCAAGCGATGGAACGACTCCGCCGAGGCTGTCTTAATTAGGACAAGTCATCTTATCGGAGATAAAGGCTTCCAACACCCCATGCACAGCGCACGTAGCACGCAAGGACAGATAGGGACTGCTGCAACGAAGCCCCGCGATTGCCCCGCGATTGCCCCTGTGGTTCTGGTGCCTCGGCGCTTCCGGCCACCGCCGCTCGCTGATCCAACGCTCCTGTGCTGCAGTCCACAGTGCTCGACTCGAAGTTTCGGCGGGGGATAGAACGCCGAACGCCCTGAGGGCCCTGGCAGCTGCGGAGCTGCACCAGCAGCCAAGGCCTGCGTGGCAGCCACGTCCTGAACTGATGCAGAGATCAGACCCGTACTAGTAGAGCTTTAGAATGATCCTAATTGACGAACTCTTCCGCGTATCCTGAAAGAAATGGAAGTGGAACCGCATGAAGACCTTAGCTCATCAGCTACTCGTGCTTGTACGAACACGGTAGTTGAAGAACGACGGGAACGTTCATTGAAAGCTCTATCATTGAATAGTTTCAGAGAGGGAACAAGCTCATCCTCCAAGGAGAGGCAGTTCTTCGTTCGCAGCTCCCAAGCCTGCGGGACCGGCACGTATCCGTACAATCTGATGTCATCTGACGCCTTTTCTGCCTCCTTGAAAGCTCGCCATTTCTGGTTGTACGCGGGCTCGACGATATGCAAAGGTGGGCGTTCAATGCAAAGGGCCCCCTGTGAGAAACGGTCGGATGCTTCGGGGCCCGGGGAAGAGGTGTCATGCAGTGCACCGTGCACCCCTGAGGACCTGTCCTGAATTTTCAGGCCCTTGTGCACAGAGATAGAGAGCGAGCCCTGAAACGCCTCACACATTTCATCAAATCGCATTCCGTCAGTTCCACCCTGACAACTCGAACCGTGCCTCCATGGCCACGTGGCGGCAAGGGCCAGAGCCAGAAGGGAAAAAGCTCTTGCCAGCCTTGCCGCCGCAGGCTCTGGGACATGATCTCTCCAGTTCCAGACCGAAGGCTCGGACAATGGCAAAGCGCCTGGAGATGCTGCCATTACCGCAAGTTAGCATGAGTTGTACTGAGTGTACTGCTTGTTGCGTCTACTTCTGCCCCGTGCTCCTGCTTCTCCCTGTTGTTCTTACATTCTTGCAGGTAGTCATGATTCAGGTAGGTAGTTTACATAGCTGTCTGTCTTGGGCATCCTACTTCTGTACTCGACACGACATCCAGAAACATGCAGAAACATGGACGCCCAATTAGCCACACTAGTAAGAAGCCGTTCCGCTCTTAAGCCAAGGCTTTGGCATGCAGCGAGCTGAAGTCACTGCGAGGTTTCGCAGCCTTGCACGTATCACGACCAGCAAGTCTGCGCCTCTGTTTCGCTGACACTCCTAATGCTACGGCTTGTCGAAACGGTATGGTTGAAACATGTAATCCACCCGAGATCCTGCAAACAGAACTTCATGCAGTAGGCCCAAGTTCTACACAGCGTTGTGAACAGTGATTGCGCAGTGCTGCCACGAAACTGGTCTCAGGGCATCTCAGGGCTAGAACTCTCAAGCACATGTGTGAGCTAGGGGCACTGGCAATGAAGCTCAGTCGGGGTGAGACTCATCCTGAGTTTTGACTACAGGAAGAAACGCACCACAGTGCGTTGTGACGAGGTGTTCTTCGCTCTCTAGCATGCTTAACCGCAGTCGTCTCTCTGGCCACCTGTACCTCTTCCCATCTGGGTGAACCACGATAGGCTGGTCAAGATCTCTCTGCCTCACGGGAGCCGAACGGGTTGAGCGGCTCAAGAATTTAGGAGTGGCACCGGCTGCAACACACGCCTCGCCACATGGAGAATGGCTGTGGTACACCTCGTTCACCTCGCGCCGTGCGCTGAGAAACCTGGTGTTAGGGCACAGGGCTGCGCTGCTGCGCTGCATGATGCACACTGGTCACGAGCGTGACACTCTCGAGGAGTGACAACGGTTGGTGTCACAGAACCAGGCGGTGTCACCTCGCAGGCACAGCCATCCCCGGCGCCTGGAATACAGCAGGCTGTGTGGCGAAGTCTTGGCTCAAGGCCGACGGTGTCAGCGACCTAGGCATGAGACGGTGCTGGATATACGGGGACAGACATAGACCGCACTGAATTTCGATGCTGTATGCGCACCACGACCGGAAAACGCTGCAGAATCGCTGAGTGCACTACTCTGTTGCCGAATTCAAAGATGCAGTGTCAAACGCAGGTCGCCATTTCTCCTACACACCCGCGGGAAGTCTGGATGTGCAGCTGCATAAAGCACAGGACATGCATAGACTGCCGATAATGTGAGGTTGGTAATGCTTTCTTTGTCTTTGCAGCAAGCACCAATCCATGCTCATGTCTCCTCCGGAAGCTTTTTGGGAGCCAGTGCGCGAACCGTTGTCACCAGAGTCTGGGTCTCACTAAACCCCAAACCCTCAAGCCTCAATCTTAGTTGCCAAGCCCCCGGCGAGCATCGATACATTGGACCCCCCCCGAGCCTTCGAAATGACATCAAGATTCGGAAACGGCCACAGCTATGGGGATCTGAACCCCGCCCTCTTCTCAGGAAACCCTGTTGGCCCCCAAGCTCCTGTCATGCATTACAGATGGCTGCACGATTCCTATTTTCTTTTGCACGCAAGCATGCTTTACATAGTCTTTGTTTGAAAAACTCGTGTAGTTTTAAAGCAGGGGGTTGTTCGCAGCACAAGACGCTACAATCAGTCACCGTGGAATTGGACTTCCAGTCTTGGTGCCGCACACGCACCACAACGGTTGCGTCAAATTCGTGGTTGTTTGCTCTTGTCAGTTCTGTTGTCGGCTCATACGGTCTAGAAGCACTCGACATACCTGCAAAGAGGGAAGCCCCCCCCAACCGGGTTTCCACCTCCCTTTCTGTGACTGTTGGTGTTTTTTGATACATCGAGATCCCGAACGGCAACGGCTGTGAGGATGGGATTCCAGGCATTACGGTGACTGCTCCAGATTAACAGCTCTCCTGGCCAAACCGTTCCAGAGTCCTCATCGCTTCTTCATAAGTGCCCAAGACTTGCAAACCGTTCATTTGCAACCTTGGTAACATACGTGTTGGAGTAACAGAGCACTGCCCAAAGCCGATAGTGTTCGCAGGGGAATGGAGTGCAGGATAGCCGGCTGTAGAACACCTGAGAAGCCTAGGGACGACTCAAACGAACGCACAACATGAGCATACTCGATTTCATCAGCCGAACGTGTCTCTGCTGCCGCCATGCCGCTGCCCTTCACGAATGTGGCGGCCATACTTTTGACAGTTTATTACCGGATAATTCCGACACCTGAAGGTAGAAAATCTGTCAATCCAACCGCGGATAACCACGATAATGCCAGATTTGCTTCATGGCTCACCCAAGATATTGCAAGCAGAGCCCATTTCGTTACAAGGTCTTTGGACAGAACTCGGAATCTCCACCTTGTAATGCCAACCGTCTCATGCAAAAAGGTGGATGGGTGGACAACTTGTGCCCAAGCAACAAGCTCATCGGGAACAATCCTGGACGAAAACAATAGTACCTACTGAAATGCAACCGCGACCACCCCAAGTTTTCGGGAGCTAGATCAACAAGATCTAGCGGCGCACACATCGCAATTGTGAGCACCCTCTGCGCTGACAAGCACTGTAAGAAGGACATCCATGTTTATGCTTGGCAAGGGCAAGTCACATTTGGAGTGGAGTGGAGTGGAGTGGAGGGACGACCGAGACCCGAAGGCCTGGCCTGTTAGTCGGCAGTGGCATCACCTCCGGCCCGAAGGCTTCAGGATCAAACCACAACGAAAACCGTGAAAAACCATAGGGTCTTAGGGCAGGCGAACCGGGTGGCCAACCGCGCGCCCCAGGCGCAAACCGGATCCATCCCGACTCGGGTCTCCATCAGCTCATTGCAGCTCGCGTAACCGTGCACTCCAGGCACGAATCGGGATCCATCCCGACAGAGCTTCCATCAGCTCATTGTCACTTGCGTAACCGCGCACTCCAGGCGCGAACCGGATCCATCCCGCCAGGGCTATCAGCTCATTGCCGATTGCGTAACCGCGCACACCAGGCGCGAACCGGGATACATCCCGACAGAGCTTCCATCAGCTCATACCGCTTGCATAACTGCGCACTCCAGGCGAGAACCGCGATCAAGCCGAACTGCTGTACCATCGACACTTGCGTAACCGCTCACTCCCCGCGTGAAACAGGATCCACTGGTAGCTGTTCCATCAGATCATGTCAAGTGTAGAAGCGCGATCACCAGGTTCGAACCGGGAACCCTCCCGCAAGAAACACGTCAGCCTCCAGCCACGAAGAGACCCAAAATGCCGGCACTGTCGCCCTACTGTTACCCCCACGCCTGCTTGCTGGGTGCTCTTCGGCCTGGAAACAATCCTAGGCCTTAGTGCCGCCCCTGGGGTCCCAGCAAGCACGCCGGCGAAAGGGTTAACAACCACAGCAGGCCCAGTGGAAGTCACATTTGGAAACGAGTCCTGTTTCTGTAGGGGAGGAGGGATGAGGAGGGGTGAGGAGGGAGGGAGGGGAGGCAGAGAGGAGGGGAGGGGGGGAGGAGAGGGAGGGGAGGGAGGGAGGGAGGAGGGAGGGGAGGGAGGGGAGGGGAGGGAGGGAGAGGGAGGGGAGGGAGGGGAGGGAGGGGAGGGAGGGGAGGGAGGGGAGGGAGGGGGGGCAGAGAGGGACATCTCTGACTGTTCCTGATCCCCCAGCAAGTGCTGAAACACCTCATGCAAACTGGCAAGCCCTGTCCAGGATCAAATCTCGCTCGCACTGCGAGAAGACGGCGAGGTAATGACTGGCCAAGTCAGATGCGAGTCCATAGAACGAAAGCAAGTTTATTGGCTCTTTATGGAAAAGTCTGGCCACTCATAGAGGTTTGCTCATGTAGCTTTGTTCCTCGATTGCAATCGGTGCAGCAGGTGCAGAGGCATAGCCAACCCCAAAGCAGTCTCAAAACCAATCTGTGCCAAACCTCTTCTCGGCAGAATCTCGCGGGCAACACCAGATGAACTTCCGAGCTTCATCAATGTGCGGCTCAACCTCACAGCGGACCGCTACTGGCAGGTATCTGCATGCAAAACGGATGGGTCGTCGTTCAGAATTGCAGGAAGGCCCCGACGAATTCATCGCCGGTGTCCCTTAGCCGAACGGAACATCACTCCGTGCTTTGATGCACAGACCTCAAGACTCCAATCCGTGATCGTGACATTTGCCTGATTTGCATGGTCATTTCTTGACACTGCGTAGGCGCACACTGAGCCCGGAGCAGCATGGACAGGAACGGTGTCAAGATGGCATATTGCTCATCGGAACTGTCGAGAGGGGTCTCTCTTCTTCTGCCGGGCATGAGGGGCATTTGAGACCCCTCAAATGCCACTAGAACCCCCCCCCATGTGTCGTTGGGGCTTTGGAGGAGTGTGAGAAAAGGTTTGTGTCCCCCTGGTCAGAAGGCATTATGCGGATTAATTTGATCTATTAGGCAATACCAGGGATCGCAAAGCTGCAGACATGGCTTCAGCTTGGGGTACTTCGGTCAATGTAGCCTCAGCAGAGTTCATTGCTAAAACTGTTCATAGCTAAAAATTCAACGAGCGTGAACACCATGACCTTTCCCACATTTCAAGGGTAACAGCCTCTGCACGCTATTTGAGTTTAAGTCGATCTCCGGGTGTATTCTCAAGATTTGCAAGATCACAACAACAAAACTAGATCACCATCGACAAACACATCTCCCCCGACGTCGACTGCAGTTCATACTCTTTTGTTTGTACGTCGTCTCAGCAGGGGTTGTTGCAAGAACTGTATCACATGAGATATAGCAATCACGATCGTCACACGGGTCTCTCTCTCTCTCTCTGTTCTCTCACCTCTCACCCCATATCTGACGAGCTTCTCTAGTTTGTATGCGGCAGCGGCTTCTGGCCTAAACTTCACGAGAAACTCTGCCAATTGCTCGGTGACTTCTTGGACCTGACTGTGTGCAGTACCATTCAGCTGCGAGTGCTATGCCATGCTTTGTACAAGCGCCTTGTCCACTGATGCGGCGTTGCTCAGCTCATCTTCGACCGCCTTATGGGGCCCACAGTGAAGGGTTTTTAGATGCGGGGGCTTAAACCCGCGAGCAAGAAGATCGATGGCAGCTCGGCATAGCTGTCTGCCATGAAGAGGCTCTACATGACATGTCCTTCACCGAAGTCCTGAAGCATCATGCAACAAAAACACAAGCCCCGATGATCCGAGGGCCAGCAAACAGAGGTTGTGCGCTAAGAAATTCAGAGGCCACCTTCTTCTAGCTCGGCATTCATACACTCAAACGCAACAGGAGTTCCTGTATATTCACGGATTCACATTGACTAAACAAGTAGTGCCGGCGTATCATGTGTCCGAATTGTCGTGGGACCACCAGACCACAAGAAAGGCTTCTCTTTCGGCTGGGCCGCTGCCAGACTTGCAATTGCATTTTCCGCACTCTCTCGCCAAGTCTCACCTCTCGCCGTTGCACTTGAGTCTCTGGAGTTCTCATGTCTGCAGGGCGCATGGTTGTCTTGCTGCTGGTGGAAGCCTCGGTGTAAGCCACTGTTACTGGAGGACGACACCCCCAATTCAGACACTCTCGTTCGCCTCTGCACCACTGGCCTTCGCCTGTCTCTCATCTGCACCACTTTTGAACACTGCATTCGCCTCTGCACTCCTCTTCGACTTTGCACTTGTGCCTCTCGCTATTGTCGTCTTTGCGCAGTCTTCGCTACATGCCGATGGATTTCCACGTTGTTGTTGTTGGTCTGGCTGTTGGTAATGCCGTCTCTCCGCCTCTATCAGTCACTGTTGTTGGTTTTGTTGCGGAAACACAGGATGTAGTTGGGCAGCATCGCAAGAACGTGCTCGAGATTTGGCCGCGAAAGCTGGTGGAACTAAGGATGCGGATCAGCAAACAAGCAAGCTCGAAAGCTCTCCTGGGTGTTGATGAGCTCTCATTACATTACAACAATCGTCGGATAACACCGCAAGCTAACAGCTCGTCGTTGCTGATTGACTCCATGTGTTGCTATAGTTCTCAAGCGCACATGATGGACACTTGTGATTGACTTCTTGCAGAATTGTGTTGCGGCTTCTACCGAGGCAAACCTCCATCACGACGAGCCGTGAGCGGAACCGATTGAGGCCGAGTAGCGGGCGACCCGTTGCTCACTTCGACGAGACAGCGAGACGATACGTGACGATACGTGACGACGTGGCCCCTCGGCCTCTCGGCTGAATCTCAGGCCCTGACGCCGGGCCTCTCGGCCTCTGTGCGGCCAAGACCTTTGTGGGTGCCACTTGGCGAGTGCGAGGGCTCTTGGAGCTAACGATCTCTCCCGAGACAAGAACTTCCTGTGCTTTGCATCGTTGAATCGAAGGTCGCAACCTGCGCTGTCTGATGAAGCGGCCGGAGCAGGGCATTTCGCAACGCCATCTGTTCAGTGCATGCTGAGCCCACGGCTGCTTCCGCAATTCCGAAGCTCGGGGCATCCTGCCGACTACAGATAACAAGAACTTTAAATCCAACGCCCAACTCAATACCATCATCCTGTCACTCAGGCCACTTTAGAGTGATACAAGAGTCAGACACGAAGCAGGTCAGGCCTGGTTTTCTTGGCTTTCATTTGCCATGATGCTCTCTGCCCCAGGTTGGTTCCAAAGAGCTGTAGCAAGGCTGATCGAATAAGCTTGAGGGTACGGTAGTGGCTGTCTGGACGAGCGTTTCGTGCTGAGAGTGTCCGGCCTGCGACATGTCTATGTCATGGCACGGTGTAGGGCTACACGTTGCATTCTTTTGAGCCTGGAGCGAACGACAAGTCTTACCTCTGCGGTTAGATCTGAACAATGCACTTTTAACGGGTTCCTCTTTCCGCCGTCTTTTTCTCGTGCCACTTTGCTTGTTGCAAGCTCCAGCCGCCCAGGATGGTCAAGACAAGGCCGAACCTGAGTCTTTGTTCAGAACTCAGCCACGCCTCCTTTTCTACGTAGACACCATCCTCGAACAGAAAACATCCACACTGCGCCAAAGCCAAGCTGGGGAAATCTGTCTCTGCCAAGCAGCAGGTGCAACATGCTGAAGGGCTTGGGGAAGAAGAAATATGAAAACACGAAAGTGATCCTGAGCTTTGATATCTGTGATCGAGCATATCTCTGCTAATACGAGATATTGCGACGTAGGGTCGCCTTCCTCCCAGAGCACACAACGTTCGCTCGTGTGGCATCAAACTCCTTCGTGATGCACATCACGGCTTCTAGGCCTTAGTTGCTCTGCAATCCTCTGCATCCGTGTGGATACCCGGTGTCGCAGGCAACACCGATGATCGGCATGAATCTCTTGTCTGTTCACATGTTGACTCCTTGAGACTGCGACCCAAGTATGTGAGCACATTGTCCAGGCACGTGTAGAATGCAGCAGATCGGTTGCGAAGGTACCATCGCACGGCATCCGAACACTCCTTGAGATATCGAATCTTACTGCCCTCTCCCTGCACTCGAGATGCTTATGCAAGCTCTGCCATGTGACTCGATGGCGTCGCTGAGCAGTTGGATCCCCGTGTGTTGTTGCATCACGATTCTACTGGTGCCTGTGATGTTGGCCTCAGATCTACGACCATTGCAACCCGGCTTTCTCTCTATGTGGCAAGGACATGGGAATGGGCCACATAACCTCGCTATGCACATGGAGACATCGTTGACTTCCATCGCAAGGCTTCAGGGCCACACAGAGTGCTTCGCATTGCGTTGCCACTTGCGTTTCCGCTTGCCGAGGCTCGCCAGTGATTGATGTCTGCAAGAAGAGCACGACTGAGGCTGTCGCCTCAGCGCTCAAAAGGGCTCCGACCGCAGCACACGGCGACTTACCAGACGCGTCCCGGCCGCATACTGTACCAACATGAGGCCATGCACAGAAGGTGCCTCGAGACACAGACATACTGTAGATGCTTCAATGCGTCTGAGCAAAGCCAGGCTCAGGGCACCACCACACTCGCTGATGGCTGCAAAACGCTTTGCTGCAAGTTCGCCGTCAACGTGCTGCCCGCCAAATTGACGGCAATGAAAACAAGCCTCAAGTGCTAAAGCAAAGCACTATGTGACTCTGTGCAATACGCCAGCGAATCCATAATCCACGCAAGCTGCCCCAGCACTGTAAATCGTGCTGACTCCAGTCCATCTCCAAGGGCAAACAGGAGTAACCCGCTCCTCACAGACACATCGGCAGCACCACAGGTTCCCGCACAAACGACCCAGCTGCAACCCCGGTACATCATGCACAGCGCCCAAAAGAGCTCTCGGGCTGTCAAAGCCGCTTTGTTGATCCATCTCGCGCCGAGCAAGACCTCAATCGCGGGGGAGTGCCTGATCATGCCTGACGTAATGCTGCATTTGTCGCCCACTCAAGCTGCACAGCATTTGCGGCAGGAGACACTGGGCACTTTTGCGCTCTTGAAGACCATGGCTGTCGTGTAATTGATGTAGATGTACGACAGAATTCCACAGCCATGGGAAACCTTGGCACCAGTCAGCCAATGGCCTGTCTCTCAGAACTCCATTCATACTGGTCACCAGTTCATTTCGCCAAGCGAGGCAAAGCATCCGAAAGTAAACTTGAATGCATTGTGATGCTTTAAGGCTTTAAGGTTCACAGACACGTGCATTCATGCGTTGTCTACACTTGGCCGGGAACCCCCTCATGGCCTGCAGAAATTGCAAGCGAGGCACATGCTATGTGCCACGACCCTACCGCCGTCACACAAGATGCCCTAGATACAAAAGGCCGGCGCTCACTCTGCTGGCGGCCCACAGCTGTGTACATCCTGCGCAGTGCCTTCCGAATCACACGGAGGTAAGGCGTCGCACCACGTCTCAAACACTTTTGCTTAAGAACGCATATGGGGCAAACACCCACAAACCAGAAATCAAAGAGGCCCTTCCCTCGGCATGACTGCCGGTTTTTTCTGTAAGGAAAAGCAGAATGCGAGAAGTCTTGGAAGTGACAGGGAACGTCCGAACGGTCTGTCACACAATGCTGTGTGTGATCTCCACGTTGCATTGCGGTTGGCGCTACCAAAATTTCACAGCACCTTTACATCTCACTATCGATCTTACTTCGCTCTCGCTTCTGGGAGCCAAACGGTCATCGCCAACCTCAGCCACTGCGTGTCGCAACGCTGCACCCGCATGCACCGACAAGGCTGATAGCATCTGGGTGGAGCACCCAGCAATCGCGGAACCACGAAGAGCTGAGACATGCAGTGTCGGGATTCCTGCTGCAAAGCCCATCTGCAGAACACGGAACTTCTCGACTGTGCAGACAGGCTGAGGGTTCAAAACTCAATTGAAGATCCAAAAATCAACAAACGCTTGATCAAAAACCAAACAAGGATCAAAAGAACAGTGACAGTAGCAAGAAGAATAATAGAAGTAATGGTAATAATCGCCAAAATGATAGTTATAATCACTGTAACAATAGCAGTAGTAGTAGTAGTAGTAGTAGTAGTAGTAGTAGTAGTAGTACTAGTAGTACTAGTAGTACTAGTAGTACTAGTAGTACTAGTAGTACTAGTAGTACTAGTAGTACTAGTAGTACTAGTACTAGTACTAGTCCTAGTACTAGTACTAGTACTAGTACTAGTACTGGTACTAGTAGCAGTAGTAGTAGTAAGAGGAGGAGGAGGAGTAGGAGTAGGAGTAGGAGTAGGAGTGCAGTAGGAGTAGGGGGAGTAGTACTAGTAGTCGTCGTCGTCGTCGTAGAAGTAGTAGAAGTAGTAGAAGTAGTAGAAGTAGTAGAAGTAGTAGAAGTAGTAGAAGTAGTAGAAGTAGTAGAAGTAGTAGAAGTAGTAGAAGTAGTAGTAGTAGTAGTAGGAGGAGTGGGAGTAGGAGTAGGAGTAGGAGTAGGAGTAGGAGTAGGAGTAGTAGGAGTAGTCGTAGGAGTAGTAGGGAGTAGTAGTAGTAGGAAGTAGTAGTAGTAGTAGTAGGAGGAGTAGTAGTAGTAGGAGTAGGAGTAGTAGGAGTAGTAGTAGGAGTAGTCGTCGTCGTCGTAGTAGATAGAAGTAGTAGTAGTAGTAGTAGTAGTAGTAGTAGTAGTAGTAGCTGCTGTTTCTGTGGCAGTGGTAGTGGCAGTGGCAGTGGTTTTAAAATAACTGGTCTTTGATGGGGGGGGTCATAGTAATACTGCGAAGGGTGGCAAGAAGCTAGAATAACGGTAAAAGAACGAAAAACAATGAACAGGAAACGCAACAGCAATGACCGTAAACGGATTAAACGGATCAGCTTTCAAACTGACTTGGTTTGGCTTGGCTTGGCTCGTCTTCAGCGGGGTGCGTGACTGCGGAAGGGGGCGACTTGCCTGCTCCTCTCCCAGCCGCCTTGAATAAACAGTCTTCCTGCTTTCTCATCGTCCCGATGACACTACTCATGTTCTTATCACGCATCGCGATGCTGGCCTCACTCTCGCTGCGGACAGCAACACAAGGCGCACGTTGTTGGCACAACGTCTTGTGGAGAAGCGATGGTACCGAGCGTTGGCTCGGCGTGGCTCGGCTTGGCTTGGCTCGGCTCCAACAAGGGGGGATTGGGGTAGCGGCGGATCACCGGCCAATGAAGGACGAGCATCAACTGCGAAACCTTCCTTTCTTCGTGCCTTCGTCTCTCCCTTGTGCCTTGCTTCCTTACTTACTTCCTTATCTTGGCTGCTTGCCTGCCTTCCTTCCTTCCTAACTGGCTTCCTTCCTTCCTCCCTTCCTTGCTTGTTGGGAGGAATTTGATTGATTGAATTTTTTGGGAGAAGATGGCAAGCTGTGAGTGCTCACAGGCTGCATATACCGTAATTTGCACTATTGATTGTGTTTGACGTTTTTGATCCCTGTTAACTTTTTGATATCTCATTTGTTTTCCCTATTTGATGGTTTTATTGAGCCCTATCCCGTGCAAGCACGGGATAGGCTTAGCTGCTGAGCAAGAGTTAGACGGAGTGGAGCATGTGGGCAGTGGTTGGATATGTCCATAGGCAAGATAAGTGGCCAGGCAGAGCGCAATGTGCCGAAGCCAGGCGCAGAAAAGCGCGTGAGGAAAGTGTCTAATTCACGCCTGATACACGATTCCAATCAACGCAGCGCTGGTGCCTCTGATTGCACACTTCGCCAGCGCCAGCACAGCGAAAGTTAGACCTTACTGCCGTTTTGCGACGGCGTCCAGATCACATGCAGTGCGCGATGTCATGCGTTCCAAGATCATTGAGCGAAGGTGTAGAACAAGCCGAAAACGAAGCCTTGAAGCAAATGACAGCACATGAGAACGATCAAGTGCGACAAGCAAGGCTGTCCTTCGGTCTGAAAGACAAATTCAGTGCAAACGGCAGCAACTCCATGAAGCGCAATCACCACAGCCGACCTTTCAGGCGGGACAGGTCGACATTCGCAAAGCGCCTGAAGACTCAAAGCGAAAACGACGGCTCTGCATTCAAAGCCACAGCTCCAAGAGCAGCCATGGAATTCCTAAGGCAACCTCTGGTGGCGCCATTTCATACTCAGAGTCAGAGTACTGACCTGTGTTCGGTAAACAGCTCAGCAAAGCTAAGCGTTGCTGGACTGTTGGGATGCAAAGATCATGCCACATGTTGCTTTTGCAGGCTCTTGCTTGATTCCGGCGCGAAAGTGTGTGCAAGTGTGCTTCCCGAGTACTCACAGACACACACACACACACACGGACACACGCGGACACACGCGGACACACGCGGACACACGCGGACACACGCGGACACACACACACACACACACACACACACACACATACACACACACGCACACGCCACACACTTGACACAATGTGTCACAGGTCTCGAAATCAGCTCAATAAGTCAGCTCAATAAGTCAGCTCAGAGAATTCACATTCTAGGTCCTAGGTTACGGATCCCAACGCTCATTCCTAAACTGTTGCAGTCACTCGAAAGATGGCAAGACAAATTGATGCACTCACGTGCTCAACAACATGACAATGTGTGGTCACAAACTGCACTAGTGTGCCCATGCCGACCACTGCAGTCCTCTTCATGATTTGCAAAGACTGCCTTCTTCGAGCCCTAATGCGTTGCACTGCAGTCTAGAGTTATTGACCAACATGACACAGAGCAGGTACGTTTTCACCCTTCCCTGGGGGTGTCTTCGTTGGCTGGTGACCCCAGGGAGAGCACCGGCCCCCTGCTCGTTCGACTCAGATTTACCTACCCTGTGAAACAGGAGTGGACACACACGCACGCGCGCGAACACACATGCACACAGACACATGCATGCACACACAGGCGCACATTCTCTCTCTCTCTCTCTCTCTCTGTCTCTCCTGGGCATGAGGGCGCGGTCAACGCCCTCGGACATTCTCTCTCTCTCTCTCTCTCTCTCTCTCTTTCTCGCTGTCTTTGCTTTGCTTTGCTCCGGGGCATGGGGCACGCTCTTCAAAAAATCCTCGCACCCCTTTTGCGAATCCCCGCCTTGGACGCTCTCTTCCTTCCAGACTCCACACAGCCAAAGGAGAAGGGTTGCCTCTCCCCGTGCGTGCACATGCGCCTTGTGCGCTCGCTCTCTCTCTCTCTCTCTCTCTCCCTCCCTCTCTCTCTGTGTCTGTCTCACTTGCTTGCTGGCTTGCAAAGCGTGTGGGGGTTCAGGCGCAAGCCACTCTTCTCTCCATCTGCCTATGTGTACGTTACGAACCTAGGGTATATGATTGAATGTCAGAAAGTCTCACTCTCCTCACTCTCCCTCACTTTTCCTCACCCTCCCTCTCACGCTCTTTCTCACGCTCTTTCTCGTTCTGTCTTTCTGTCTTTCCTGCCATCCTTACATCCGTTCTTCCTTCCAATGAAGGGGGTCCGTGTTAACGGACCCGTGCCAAGGCAGCCCCTTCCCACACACAATTTTGAGAGAAGAGGCTGTGGGGTGTTCGGCGCGGTTTTCTCCCCGACGGCAGGATTGTGTGGGAGCGCCCGTTTTTTTGGGGAACCTAAACTTTACATCGCGCCTCCCGGCCTCATTATTGTGCCCTCTATGGCTAGTTTTAGGTATACTCAACAGACGCATCCCCCCAACTAGCTACCACAATGGGAAAAATTCCCCCTCCTTCTACAGTGCTACACCGAAGCATACCGAAGCGACAACAAGGCTAAATGCAGGACTGATTTGGTCAACATGGCGCGCAAGCATTTTGTAGGGGGAAGCAACACTTCAACAACCACACTTGCACTCACAACTACTGCCTCTACAAACTATAAACAAGGTATGAGCAAGTGCTGGGATTGCGACAATAGTAGGATGACCGACCGATGGTGCTCACACTTCAAATGTGCGATCTCTCGGCATGCTACCTGCATTGCGCGGTATCATACTGCCGAGCCAGCCGAGCCATCCGGGATTCTGTGTGGACAACAATGGCACTGGCAAACGAAAGTAAAATCAGTTGACATGCTTTCCCGGGGTTGCTCAGGCTGGCCACTGCGCAGAGTGATCCCCCACAGTGAGAAAAAATACCAGGTGATATACTCCTGAACACTGCACAGTGGCCCGTGCCTATCGAAGGACGCTGCGTGTATGCGCCTTCGGCGATGCGGGGCTGGGCTTGAGTCGGAACTATTGTTCCCCCCTGACCTTTCAGTCTCGTGGGGCTCGTCTGGTTGGTTTGCGGCTGCACCCCCGTCGTTGGTGCCAGCATCGGTGTCCACGGCAGTGTCGCCACGTTGGCACTGCTAGGCACTGCGTGGACAATGCGGCCGCTTCCCCCACCTGGTCGTTGACCGCGCTGTGCTCGTGGTTGGTGGTGTCCCCAACGTCGTGCTCGCTCACCTCGTTGACGGCCTTCCCTTTGTTGGTGGTGCGCTCTTCCTCTGCAGCGGTTTCCCCCGTGCACCGCGATGTGTAGCATTGTGACTGGCGCTTCCAAGCTCTCCCCTCCATCAGTGGGATCCGTTTGTGCGCGCTTCCCCCATGCTGGTCGTTCTCCATGAGGCATCTTCTCGCTTCTCCAGCATGTCTAATGCCATCATCTTGCGTGAACGTCTTGAACGTCTCTTGCTGCAGGTCAGGGAGCATGGGCTCGAAGAGCTGGAGCATCCCCCTGTCTATGGGGCTGCTGACAATGCTAAGGTCTACGCTGTACTCTTCATCGTTCAACCATGTTCAAGCCTTCTCCTCTGCGCAAACGCATCCCCGTCACTTGCCTGTATACTTTGTACAGCTCCATGCGGATGGCTGTTTGGCAAATATTGGTGATGACTTCCCCGGACTTCCCCATCCTCGCCCCCTATGCGGTGGCAACCTCTGGGATCAACTGTATCTGGGCTGCTGCTGCCTGTATTTGCTCTGTGCAGCGATTGTGCTGCTTTGGGCATCTCGTTTCCCTGCCCTGCCTCCTTCCCTCCTTCCTTCCCTCGCTCTTGCTTGCTTGCTTGCACGGCGTGTGGGGCAGAAAGGTAAGACCGCTCCATCCTCCAACCCTGCGCTCACGCGCTACGCCGATGTCCAAGCTTGGTCTGAGGGTGAGACGTTCGTGGGACGTCCGTGGGGCTTGTTCTTTCCGCGTCCATTTTAGTAAGTCACGATGTCCCAGCCTGCAGTTGCAAGTCCCCGTCTAGTCCAGCTACCGCCACTCTTCCGCCTAGTGCCCCCTGATTTTCGGCTTCTACTGCGGTGTTGGTAAAAACAGCAGTACCACTCGACGCTGGCTGTGTTCCCCGTTGCTCTCTGGTCGCTACTTCTACTTTCTTCTGGTTTGGTGGATGTGTGCTGTGCCAGCATTGGGTCCCGCGGGGCAAGGAAAACAAGGGCCCAGGGTAGAGAGGGAGCAATAGGGGAACACTTTCACAATCGCGTGGGGCCCTTTGCCGATTGGTGATCCCCGAGGCATGAGGGGTGTCTGACGCCCCTCGGCCTCTATAAAGGCCCCCCGATGTTTGTGGCGGCTTGTGGGGGAGAGTGAAAGTTTTCGCCCTGCCTTGTAAGTTTTTGCGCTATCTTTAGACTTAGTGCAGTTGACAGAGATCAACACTTTTCAGGACATGGCAGCACTCTTGAGGGTACTAGGTCACGCCTTGGCAAAAACATCAGCTGCATCAGCAACAGATCTTGTCGGACCGTTCCCCCGATGTGTACGCAAGCACTGCTTTCGCACTTGCTTTCGAAACTTACAAACATAGCGAGCATAGCCATAAATGACAAACTAATGTTCAAACGGCAGGTTCCTTTCCAGTGAGCTTATTGATGACCTGGCACTTTGTGTTATTATGCACCAAAGTAACATATTTCGGCTCTAGCAGACAGAAGAGAAGGCCTCCAAACCGAAGAGGGGCGAGTGCGAAAGCCAGCTGCATCAGGGGCGCCGTCGTGAGAAGAGCTCGAGCCATCTTCGAGAAGGGCGGGATCGCAGCACATCGCCCCCCCGAGGTCTTCGGGCTGTTCAAACAGAAGAAACTTAGCCCTACCCTTGGAAGCAAGCCGACAGATATCCCAACAAAAATCAGCGAAAATGTTGCCAGCGATGGCTCAGTCTCTCTCCTTGGCTGTACGCGGACTTATCCCTCGCGGCTGAGAAAGACTTCTGACAGGGCGCGGCCCCGCGAAGTTAGCCCAAGTAGCCCGAGAGAACGTAGCGCAGCAAAGGGAGAGTAGTATGATATCGAAGTTTTCCTGATCAACAAGGTCCATGATCGCTGTCTCGCCATCGACCGGGCGAGGTCAAACTTGGGCCCAAGCCGCTTATCCACCAGGGTGACTGTACCTCAGGGTGGAATGTAGCTGCTAGTCTTTAAGTGTAGCTTCGGACACTGCTCGCCCTGTCTTTGCCCGAGAACAGGTAGAGCACCTGGAGCCTGGCTGAAGGCGGGGCGCGGTCAGCTAGCCGCCACCTGCTCCGGCTTATTCTTGGTGCACTTGGTAGCCGGATGGTCGCCGACGCACAGACAGGTGCACGAAGTGGCACTTTTCGCCCTTCTTGCACCCGCTTTTGGCATTGTAGCGATAGCATATCGGCTTGCCGTCGGCCGTCCGCGGACCTTGCTTGTCTTCTGCTTCTTGTTGCCGCCCTTGTCCTTGCCCTTGCCCACTCGCCCTTTCCTGCCGCCTTAGGCGGAGCAAGGGAGCCGCTAGCCTCATAATAGCAGAAGTCTCCGAGCAAGTATATACTTCTCGAATAGCTGCTGGTTCGTATCCTTGAGCTCGGTAAGGCTCGGATGGCGCACCGGAACCAGGAGAAGTGCATTCGCCATCGCACGGGACAGCGGGCCGAGGAGATCCCCCCCTCTCGCCGCAACCAGTTCACTCAGGCTGTGTTGCCAGACACTGTCGAAGGCTTTGCGAATGTCGAGTTTTTCGAGCCACATTGGCACTCCCCCGTCACGTGCCATCTGCGTCACCCACCGGATGGTGGCAATGAGCTCAACGCCTTGCCGCCCGTGGCGTGCCCATTGCCTCACGCGGTTTCCGCAGCTTGCCAGAAGTAGTTGGGCTGCCCATTGGGCGGGCTTCGCTCCATTCCAGCGGCACTTTGGGTAGTAGTACCGTGACATCTCTACCAATCCCCTCTGGTGCGCGGGCCGTGTCCAGCATATCATTGAGGATATAAGTGACGGTTCCCCCCCCATTCCGGGTCACTGATCAGCGCCCGGGCGGCTTCGTGCGACATTCCGTCGGGTCCTGTGCATTTGCTGTTGCTCCACGATCTGGATGTGAAAAGCAGTTCTTGCGTTGCAAAGGGAACCCACGGTGTCAATTTGCACTTCCGCCGTAGCTGATGTCGCAGCGTGGCGACGCGGGCGCTCCCCTCAGCAAGGAGAGGCTTGGCGAAGATGGAGCACATGTGTGCTCGTAGGTGTTTTTGCCACTATGGATCGTCTTGTAATTTGGACTGCCAGCCCCGGCGTGTTTTCCCCCGGCTGCTTTGGCTGGAGCTCCTGGTGTGCATGTTGGGCCACCTGCCGCAGCTCCCTTGGCTTACTGCTTTTTTGGAACTTATTGTGGCCGCTACCTGGAACCGTGATGGCCTTGGCCAGTGTGGCAACCACTTGGCGCGGGTCCCCCCCCCGAGGTGGTGGGATGGCCAGGAGCTTGGTGACCTGGCGTTGTGGCCGCAGCTTCCGCGGTCCCCACCTTCCTCCGCTGTTGCTTGCTGCGGGCACTCCACTTTGAGGTTCGCGAAAGGATTGTAGCGTTTGCCCCCCGCGCTCTAATTAGTTCCAAAGGTGAGATGCAGCGGTCTGGTGCACTTCTCTTTTGTTTGACGCGTCTGCTTGTGTTGTACACGGATTGCTGGGTCTCCCGGCGGCATTGCAAAAACTAAGACGTCGAGAAACAGAAACACTACACTGCTTCACTGCTCCTCTGGTGTCACTGCCGTCGTGCTTTGTCCACCCGGGGGGATGGTGTCCCCTTCTCTCCATCGTAGGGTGTGGTTCTCACTCTTGGTGTTCCTGCCATTTGCTCAATCATCCGCGCGTTCTTGTCCCCCTCCCATTCAGCGGGGAGTTTTGCGTCTGCACTTGGTCGGCGCCGAGGAAAGGGTGCTCGTAAGTCGTTTTCTCCTGGTGCACGGCTGGCTCGTCCACGTAGTTCTCGACGGTTTGGGGGATCACTCCGAAGTCCACAGTCTTGTTGCATGCTGCCTTCCCCTACTGCTGCGCCACCCTTCGGGACAAGCCCTCGGGGGCCAGGTTCAAGGAAGGTCTTGCTCAAAGTGGGCGAAGGGGCCCTTGAGCCAAACTGGCTCTCTTCGCTTCGCTTCGCTTCTCAGGGGAAAAGTCCACTAGGTGGACCCGCGCCAAGACGCCCCCTTCCCCGACTCGGCGGTGGAAGAGGCTTGTGGGGTCTGCAGTGGCTGGGTTTGCAGCCACAGGTCGGCATGTACGGTAGCGTGCGCTTGACAGTAAACCCCCGACCATTCACACTAGCCCGCATCCCGGCCTCGTCCCCGGGCCCTCTATGGCAATATCCTCAGACCCTCGTCAAGCGCAACACCCCCAGTATATCCAGCGGTCGGATGCGTCCCCTTTGTCTTTGCACAACAGCTAAGTACCGCACGAAGCAGGGCCAAACTTCACAACATAAGAAGGCTCAGTTCGCTGGGATGCCCCCGTCTGGATACGAGTCATTATTGCAGTGGTTCCCCCGCCTTATTTGTTGTGCTCTTGGCACGGTAAGCAACAGCCAACATAGAGACACAAGTTACTTAGCGAAAAGTCCGCTCCAGTGTAGGAAAGTTTCAAAAGTCCCCCAGTCAGGTATGAACGAATTGGCAAAAGGTTCCCTATTAAAGGCATTGGGTGTGCGGTAATTATGCAGGTCAAACATGGGACGGCTTGCGCCCCCGTCGGTTGTGGTGTCTTTGGCTCCGCGGCCCGTCCTATTATGCTTGTCTTGTGCAAGCCAGAGTGCATGGTAGACTGGATCTTTAACTTCCCCCGAAAACAAGCACTGGAACTGCGGCGGAAAATTTTTCGGCTGCCCGCGCTCACTCACTCACTTCAGTCCTTTCCCCTGCGCGTTGTATCGGAACTGCGCCATGTGGGCCTGGATCTGACGCACCTGGTGCCACCTTTGGTTTGGTGTTAACGTGACGGCCTGTCCCTGCGACTTTGCTGGCGGCTCCCCCTCCGGTTCTGATGCTCGTTCTGCGAGCACGCCACGGCTTCTGCCTGTGTGGAGGGTCTCCCCGCTGGTCCCCATGCAATGGCCACTGGTGGTTTGTTGGGTCCTCCCCATTTTGTCACTGCTCCTCCTTCTCCCACTCTCTGCTGAGCTCTTGTCTGCGTCGCTTCCCCCCAGTCGGGAGGGGTGTCTTCTGCGTAGGGCTCCTCCTTGTGCTTTGCGGTCGGCTCCCCCCTTCTGGGAAGTTCCAGCACTTCTGGTAGCTCCTGCTCTGGTGGCGTGGTTACCACTTGTGGCTGCTTTCCCCTCTTTGCGCCGTTCTTTCTACGGATCCTTCGGGCTTGTTGCAACATGTGCTCGACCTTGTCCGGGTACTTCATCATGAAAATCCGGTTTTCCTGTGCCACACGAGGAAGGTAGTGGTCGGTCTGCTTTCCCCCAAGCTTGCAGCGCTTGTGGAATCGACTGCTGTGCTGGCTGTACTCTTCTGTGTCTGCAGCACTCAGTGTTTCCCCGTTGCATTGTCCACATAGTCGTTCTGCGCGTTCTGCTGGATGTCCCGGCCTATCCACTTGTCCAGCGGGGCTGACGGAAACTGCACGTAAACAGCGTCACGCCCCGGCTGGCACTCGTTGGCTCTCCCCGTGCCGGAGCTGGTTGGTGTTCTCCCCCATCTCGCACGGCAACCGGCGCTTCGGGTCCAGGGCGTGCTTTGGCTTTGGCCCCTGTTGGAGGTACTGTCCCCCTTGTGGTGGAGCCGTGGAGACGACATCTTGGGTCAGCTCTTTCGTGGTGCTTCCGAAATCCTGTGGTGCACACCCCTTCAGTATAGCGGCAGATTCTGCATATTCTGTCAACTTCTGTAGTCATACTCGTTGTTGTAGGCACTCGTCATTATCTTTTCGTCCTTGCCGATATCACGAACACTGGCTCGAAGGCGTCCCCCACCCAGTCGACGCGTTCTTTGAGACCGCTGTGGCCGAGCAGGTTTGGGAGCAGTCGATGAAGACTTTCGTGTCCTCCCCCGCAACGGCTCGCACGAAGAAGCTCTTGCACTGGCCAGGTCGCTTTCAAGGCAGTAGTGGTTCGAACTCCAACTCTTTGAGTATGGCTGGTGCGCCCCCTGGCGGGTCCCCTGGAGCACAGCGGCAACAGATATGTTTTGCTCAAGCACCGCTGGGGCAAGCAATGGAAGCTCCCCTGTGGGCACAGCCTCAGGTTAACTCCGTGCCTCCCCCCCGATGTGGCGGAACAGACCACCCGGCAAAGGTGCAGCACTTGAGCCAAAATGCCAACTCTCTCTGTCTCTCTCTTGCTTGCTTGCTGGCCGGGCGTGTGGGAAGTAGCTCTCTCTTCGCTTCGCTTCGCTTCGCAGGGGTCAGGCTTCAGCTGAAGCCCGCGCCTAGGCGCCCCTTACTCTCTCTCTCTTTCTCTCTCTCTCTCTCTCTCTCTCTCTTTCTCTCTCTCTCTCTCTCTCTCTCTCTCTCTCTGTCTCTGATCGGGACCCCTCCCCTCTCCCTTTGGGGGCACGCTCATGTAAGGGCGTTGGGCTTTGGGACAAGTCCGCTTTGAAATTTCCCTCTCTCTCTGCATTCAGAAATCAGCATAGCAGTGCATCGCTTATTGCCGCATCCTTGCAGATCTGGCAATGCTCCTTTGAAACGGTGAAACAGCAGGGTGAAACAACTTCTTGATCATCATGTGGGAGAAGCGCGAAGCTTTCTTCTGAGCAATTCGGGGCCATAGCACATCGAGGCGATCATAGAAGTCATGCCGGATTGTCTCTCACCTCGACCGGCTGACGGGTCTCTCTCCCTGCCCTTAGTACACTGTCAGGGAGACGGCTGGCTGCTGAGGCGAACAGACGGTGTAAGAGTTTGACGGTAACACTGGACTCGATGAAGTCGGTCTGCCATTTGCTGGTTTTTGACGAGGAATGCGAGTTCGGCCTTGGCTGTAACACAAAAACCGTTCGATTCTACTGAAAAGGCTAGTGCTGCCCCATCTCTCCCAAAACCCATCGGTCATCCTGATACTCAGCTAACACAACAATCGGAACAAGGCCCACACGCCTTTCGCAAATGTAGTTCCCATGACGTTGTCTGCATACCGTCCAGGAATGAAGCCAGTGTAGCCCGGAATCTGCCAGGTTGTTTAGCATTGGATTTTTGGCAAGCGAGACAGCAAGGCGAATGCCTCAGCGCCAGGAGCAGGGCCTGGCGGCTGCGCAAGCCACGGGCAACCGATCCAAGAGACGCAGGTATGCACGCAAAGCCGATGCCGGACGTTATCTTGGCAATAAGTGGCCCGCCATCGAAAGTGCGTCCCGCATAGGACATGGGCAAACGCCCAGTGCTGCGCAGAATCTTTGCCTGTGCCAGTCAAGCTTTGCAGGGGACATCCAACAATAGGCATGGGAACCACGACACGACTCAGCAGCCTCAGCAGCAGAACGCTCATTCGCGTTCTGAAAAGTCAGGCCGTACACGTTCTCTGCCACTTTGCCAGGCCTCGATCTCACTGCCATCCACACGCTATCTGCACTGAAAGCAGCTCAGTAGGGGAAGCTCGGCGGTGGACACATATCCAGTGTACCCGGGCAGCCCAGTCACGGTAAAAGACCCAGCCTGGAGGGATAATCATCCAACAAGGAAACAGTCGGGAAAACGTGGAGCAGGCCTGAGGAAGGAAGCTTCCATCCTGTTCCCGCACAGGACCGAAGCTCTGACGCTTCCGTGCGACTGGTCACTGCAAGTTCTGAGCACAAAGCTCGAATGGGCCGGTGTCTTGGAGGAACTCTCATCACATCCACCTGTCATACAAGCAACTCTTCTTTCCCTATAATGAGGGTGCAGCTCCAATGTCGGCAACAGTTACGCATCACATCGCATCACTATATCGATCTGAAGCCGAGTATGTCTATGTAAAGCGAAGAAGAACCCAAGCGTGTAGTAGCTACTTTGCGCATCGGCTGTTGGTGCAAGCATCTTGCAATGTCCCCCTGCTTCCCGTATAAACAGTCCGTTGATGCTCCGCCCTCAAGCAGATTATCCTGCAAAGAGATTCGCTACCGTTACTGACCGTTACCACACGCGAATGGTGCGTCTCTGCCTTGTCACCGATTATGGGTGTGAGGCTCGCTCAGCTGTCCCGCTCATAACTCTTGAGGAGGTGCTGAAGCAGCGTCAGGATGTGCAGAGCTGCGCACAACTTGGGTTACCTTCTTCGTGTTTTGGAAGTTGTGATAACTCCGTGTAAGCTTGGCACGCTCCTCCGCTGTTCAAGCTTGATCATTGACCAGACAGAACGGAACAGGACTGATGTTTTCAGGACTTGTGCCGTGGCCGTGGCTGTTCGACAGCTGTGGAAATGGCTGGGTTGATACCTTGGCGATCAGACGTGACGTTCCTTCAATAGAAGCATCGGCTCTGTGCTGATGCCATTTTCACTTTGGTGCGGTGCGGAGACAAACCCCCTAGCTTGTACATTTGCGGCTGTATGATTGTTGCTCTTGCAAAGCGCAACACAATAGTAGCTATTGGCACACGAAGAGAGAAGAAGTGGGAGCATACTCCTGCACCTGGTGCGCTTGGGGCGGGAGCTGTCTGCTTCTTTTGCTTTGCTGGTGTGACATGAACCGTTCTGCTTAGTTCATGAAAGCACTTGTTGCACTTCTAGTTGTTATCAACTCGTTTGTCTTGCTTGTCTCGTTTCTGTGGCAAGAGCAAAAGGGCCTGCATTTGCAGCACTTGCGTGCTTAACTGAGCACGATGAAGCACAATTTGTGGCCATCCTTTGTGGCAAAGTTTTTCACCTGAGCGCCATCGAAATCCAGCCGACACTCCCCGTCCATGGACGGCTGGCATACACCACAGACGACAAGCAGAAAACCAAAGGTCATGACGACATCATAAGGTCGTTTTCTTGAGCGAAGCCCAGTAGCCAACAACAACTCTCCTCAAACCGGAGACCGACGTTTATTTATTCTTCAGCTTTTTGTAGTAGAGGCACATTGAAGTCTTTTGTTCGTTGTTTCCTACTCCAGATCCGAAGGAGCACAATGAATGTTGATTCTGAGGTTCTGGAGATCGCAGCGAGGCACCCCTACATCGCAGCACCAACTCCATCGTGGCATTCGACAAAAGTTGCTGTTGCCGTCGCCGTTGTCCACCTTCTCCTTGTGATCCTCGGCCTCACTCGTAATCATGCCGTTTCCTCACGATCGCAAGTCGTCGTCGTCGTCTCGACATCGTTGTCGTCCTCCTCCTCGTCCTCCTCTGCTCCATGTCGCCATCTTAAAAAGTAGTACCAATAGTACTAGTTAGCTAGCAGTATTCGTCGTACGAGCAGTAATGTACTACTAGTGCACTAGCAGTTGTGGTAGGAGTAGTCCTGGAAGTAGTAGTAGGAGTAGTAGTAGTAGTAGTAGTAGTAGTAGCCGTAGTCGTCGTAGTAGTAGTAGTAGTAGTACTACTACTACTACTAGTCGTCGTCGTTGTCGTCGTAGTCGTAGTCGTCGTAGTAATAGAAGTAGTCGTCGTCGTAGCAGTACTAGTACTAGTATTAGTACCTTTGTATGCATCAGTGCTTACATTGTTGACATTGTGAGCATCTGTGCCACAATGCACAGTTCTCTTCTCTTGACAAGTTGAGTAGGTCGCAAGCTTGCAGCTATTCGTAGCGGGACTTGCCCATGTGGACTTTGTGCTCTTGAATCAACGGTGCCATGCACTGCCACGTACCTGACGCCAAGCTGAGCGACCGGCTGCGATTGGAATGAATACTAGTACTACTAGTACTAGTAGTACTAGTAGTACTAGTAGTACTAGTAGTACTAGTAGTACTAGTAGTACTAGTAGTACTAGTAGTACTAGTAGTACTAGTAGTACTAGTAGTACTAGTGGTACTAGTAGTATTAGTAGTACTAGTAGTACTAGTAGTACTAGTAGCACTAGTAGTAGTAGTAGTAGTAGTAGTAGTAGTAGTAGTAATGGTAGTAGTAGCAGTAGTAGTAGTAGTAGCAGTCGTCGTAGTAGTCGTAGTAGTCGTAGTAGTAGTCGTAGTCGTAGTCGTAGTCGTAGTCGTAGTCGTAGTCGTAGTAGTAGTTGCAGTAGCAGTAGCAGTAGCAATAGTAGTAGTAGTAGTAGTAGTAGTAGTAGTAGTAGTAGTAGTAGTAGTAGTAGTAGTAGTAGTAGTAGTAGTAGTAGTATGACGAGGTAGTTGTAGTTGTTGTCGTCGTACTTGTTGTGGTCAGCAGTAGCAGCAGCAGTACTGTAGCCGCAGCAGCAGGAGCAGGAGGAGGAGCAGTAGCAGTAGCCGGAGCAGGAGCAGGAGCAGCAGCGGGAGGATATCGGTAGCGGCAGCAGTAGCAGTAGCAGTATCAGAAGTAGCAGTAGCCGTACTGCTACCAAAGTGCTACCACTACCACACCTGATGCTGCTGCTGCTGATAATCCCACTGCTACCTGTAGTGCCGCAACTACCACTACCACGGAGCAGTACCACTAACACCACGACAACAACAACTACTACTACTACTACTACTAGTGATGATAATAACTTTTTTTAATTGAACGCTGCGCGAGCGTGCTCTGCGCTTTGCGGGCGCCTTTGGTCCCGTGCACTCGTGAAACTGGTGATTTGCAAGCATTCATCGCTCATGTTCCTCTCAGTCTACTCAGTTAACTAAGCTGTACATCTGTTGCTTCCTCCTCCGCCACCTTGTTGTGAACAGACGCGACCATCTGTTCACCTGTCTCAGCAGTTAGGTCGTACTTCATGTGAAGCCGGCGCCTTGAGTATCCGTCTAGTGGCGTCCCACACGGATTACTCATGCTAAAGACAGAAGGCCGTAAGGGTCATGTTTGCGTACCTGCAGAGCTGAATGAAGCTGACGGCTGACTGACCATATCGGCTCAGGCGAAGTGCAGTGGCCTGCATTTTGCATTTGCTAGCTCGCTGCTCTACAGCTCCGAAGAGATTTGCAGAAACGTCGGAAGAGCATCGAATTCCCAGAGGCTGTGCCATACGGGATGTGGGGAGTCTGTGACATTGCCCTAAGTTCACTGGTTGTGACCCTGCGGCCACTGCTGCGGAGACTGATAGTATCCGTGCCAGGACCATTGTTGCCACCAGTCCCAATCCTCCTCCTGAGAGGAGCGTGCCGGTCTAGCCCATTGGCTCGAGGAGGAGGAAGAGGGTCCGCCTCCCTCGCCTGTGGGCGCTTGTTCGGAGCAGCGGCTGCAGCCAACCGAGCCATGCGCTTGTCCTCTTCAATTCCCTTGTCATGCTGGATCCTCATCTTCATGATGGAATGGGCATCTCGCATGGGTTTGAGCTTGAACATCCGCGCTGGAAGTCCAGCTGATTTTGCCGCTTCGTTGTAGACTGTCATGATGGAAGTGGCAATCATGTTGAACTCGATCCTCGTGGGGAAGTGGCGTTGGAACTCAGGCTCGTCCCACATTTTGTTGAAGCATGCATGGATTAAACCATGCACTTTAGTGGGGGCATCCAGCTCCTGGTAGGCTTCTCCGGAACCCGTAGCAATGGTGACCCGTCCATCATTGGTAAGAACTCTGCGCACAGACATGGCGGTGTCCCAGGTGAGGCCAGACTGAGTCTTTACCAACTTGATGGCTGAAAAAAGTGGAGGCACTTGGCTGAGTGCCGCCACCCGGGTTGACCAGAGATTTTGCTGCTCCTGGTCAGAGAGGCCACCAAGAATAACCGGGGCCACCAGGATATTGATTGAGGGAAACGAGAACGCAGAATAATAGCACAAAAAGAAAAGAACAGTAATAACACAAACTGCGCGCGCGAAGCGCGCGCAAAACTACAAAAGCAGCAGCAACACCACGGTTGAGGAGGTTCTAGTGGTCCTGGTCGTGGCAGTGGTATGGTCGTTGTGGTAATCGTATTAGCAGCAGCAGCGGCGGCAGCAGCAGTAGCAATAGTAACGACAGCCTCAGCACTCAAAATAGCGCAACACTAGCTGTAGCAGCAACATGAGAGCAGCGGCAACAGCAGTAGCAGCTTGACCTGCTGCCAAATGCCAAATCAGGTGCTCAGCTGTGGCAGAGGTTTTGCTTGAAGTACAGTCATGCTTCAGGTTATGCACGTGCAGTTTGTCATTAGTGACGGTTGCAGATCCCAGTGAGCAGTCAGAAAGCACAAGGCACAGCATCAGTTTTCAATCCGCTGCCCCGCAGTCTGAAGCCTTTTCAGCTATTGGGCTTGCCGTTGTGCAAAACGTGAGCACCAAGCGCTCAAGTGTCAGCTGTAAGAAGCTGGGCGGCCTGGCCACAGTGTTTGTTGGATCCAGGGGTTTAAGATTCATATGCCTGGCATACGGCTTCCGGTCTAAGCTCAAAGAACCCGTAAAGTTTGATGTATATCCTTAATTCAAGGAGTTCGGGTTGAGGTTTCGGCTCAGCGTTTCAGAGAGCTCTTGCTATTTGGGGCCTCGCGCAGCACGGTGGAAGCCTGAGAACTCCGCTACAGCCGCCAGGGCGGTTTGTGTTCTACATCAAAGCATGTTGTTGAATTTGGTGATCCTGAACTTTGCAGGCTGTAGTCGTAGCGGGTGACTGACATGAAGGCTTATGATTGCTTCGGCTCTAAAGAAGGGCAGCTCAAATCCCTGAGCGGTTGCGGCCCCCCAGTCTAGTCCAGTTAGACTAGGGAAATTACGGAATTTCCGAGTTTCTCGCCAAAAACCTAGTCTAATCCTGTCCAGTTTTCCTAGGCCAAAACATGGGATACACGGAATTAGCTGCTGCACGAATGCACGACTCTTTAGACA